CTTTGTAACAATCATAAAAATTTTTTTGTTGAAATTTCAGAAAAACATCAGCAATAATATCTTTGCCAAAAAATTATGAATGTTACAATTGTGTGATACGAATTATCCGGCAAAATACAAAAATTGGAGAAAATTATTCATCCTATTATTCATGTGCTGATGTGAATATCGTTAATGGTAAGTGTCATAGGAATGAAAAATAATATCAGAAAGAAAATATCCGGTTTCTCAAAACCGAAATGATGTTGAATAATTTTATAATTGTAATTCATCGATCTTTCAATTCATCAACTAATTTAATCCATTCATTACGATTAATTCAATTTCTTCGATTCCTATTTTTGTTACTTAAAAATGACAAACAAAAAAAAAAAACAATCTAAATCTTTTCGTTATATTTTCAAACATTAAAAATAAAAAAACGAAAGAAAACGAAATTTTATTGCTGATTAATTTTAATTGAAATTTACATTTCTTAAATGGAAAAAAAAAGAAGAATGACCTATACAATTATTTCAAAAATGTTACATCCTTTTATGCAAATAAAAACAAAAAAAGTAAAAGAAAAGCTTTTTTCTTTCCTTCTTTTTTTCTGAACTTTAAATTGAAAAATGGAATTTTTTTTCCTTTTTTTGTTTTCACTTTTTTTTCCCTCCCCACCAAAAAAAAAGAGCTATAATAATTGATGAAATTTTTGAAATTATATAGATGAACGATCGTACATTGATTGAAAAAACTTTTCATACCAGCTGTTTTTTATTTTTATTTTTCTTTTTAATTTTATAAGTTTGAAATACACATAGATTTATTTTATTTCATTTCTAATTTTTCTTTTCAAATTTATTTCATTTCATTCGTACTTTTTTAAAATTCATTTCCGCTTTTCATAAATTTATTTCCGCCTCTTTTTTTTGTAAATATATATAATTATTTCAGGTAATTTAATAATGTTGAAATGAATGTTTGCAATAAATCTTTGTTTTTGATTTAAAAGAAATAGGAAATAGGAATTTATTCAATGATACTTAAATTTTAATTAAGATAAATGTGTGAAATTAACCATTTGAAATTAATGATTTATTTGGAAATTATTTTAGAAATCCCAGATGGTGATACATGTTTGGGTAATGGAAAGCGGAAACACGGAATATGTGAATGTAATTCGTATTCATCCGGTGACAATTGTCAATATCAAGGTATTGTAAATGTCATCAATTGTTTTTTCTTTTAAATTTACAATTATCTAATCAACTTTATTTTGTTTTATTTTTAAATAAAGATTAAAATATTTTGTATTAGTCTTAATTTCAAGTAATTATCGCTAAATATATTTTGACAATTTTTTTTTTCTTTTTATTTCCACATTTAATCATTCTATTATATATGTAATTTTATTAGAATTGATGAAATATTTTCATAATTTTTGTTGGAATAAAATTTACGTAAAATCTGTTATTATTTCATTAATTACACTAATTAAGTTATTTTTTAATTAGGATTTTTTCACCGTAATCAATTCTTTAATCATATTAATTACGATATAATTGGGGATTTTTTTTTTTTTTTGTTTTACAGATGAATGTACAGATGATAAAGATTGTAATAGTCATGGAAAATGTATGATAATATTCTCGAATGATGTCATGACGATGAAACAATGCTTCTGTCAACGAGGTTATTTCGGGAGATTATGTCAACATGGTATTATTACTTTTTTTTTTCTCAATTGTTTTATTGTTTACAGTAATCCGGATGACAGTTCATGCAATTATTCTTCCGTAAATGTATTTTGCATACGGTATATATATCATTTAAAAAAAAGGAACGAAAAAAAACCTCTGTTAAATATAAATAAGAAAGTTTTATTTAATGAATAAATATACCAAATTCCGATTGCTTACATTTAAAACGTATTTTTTTTTTTCAAAATTTTGCTATTTGATTGTGAAAATTATAAAATTTCGTATTCAAGATGTAACATGAAAAGTGAAAGTTTATGATTTACTATAACTGATTGATGAGCTTGATCATAATAACTTTTGCTGTTTATTAATTATCAAAAACTTAATATAGGGTTAATTTTCATTGTTCATCCTCTAATTACTGAAAATTTATTTACCTTCGCTGTTGTTTTAAGATAATTTAAGGAATATAAATTCAAGCTTATTAATTTATGTAATCAGAAATAATTAATTTTTATGCCGATATAATGCTAATAATTAGCTTAATGGAAATCTCTTCATGTAACATGTAAATTTACTATAATTTGTAAATTATTCTTTAAATATTTCGATGCATTAAATTTTAATAATTTTCGGTTATTATTGCTAAATTATAATTATAATTATAATTATTATTATTACTATTACAGCTAAAAGTATTTCATCAGCAATATAATATTCAAATTTTATTATTATTATTATTACGAATGAGCCATTTGAATAGCATTACAATACGCATCATCGATTAAAATTTAAATTTTACTAAATACAATGAAAAAGAGGGAAGAATACGAATTTTTGCATAGTAAATGAAATATATTTTCAGGTTTTCATAGAATTTATAGCAAAATGTAATATTCTATGATCAGGTTTGATCATAGAATATTACATTTTGCATGAAATAATTCTAGGAATAAATTTATTTACTTTTTTTTTTTCAGTATCACAAAGTTTTACGGATGATTCAGAATTTCTACCATCATTATATCATATGCATCAAGTTGGACAGGATAATGATAAAATTTATTGGAGGATATTACAGGTTAGACATTTATCTTAACATTCTATTACTGATAAGCTATCATGTAAACAATTAAAAAAAAAATTCAACTCTAATTGGGTATTGTTATTTCTAAAATTATATTAAACTGGATATTATTGATTTTTAACCGGTGATTCGCGGGATAGCATAGAATAATTCACATGGGCTATTAAAAACAATATTCCTTTTTTTTTCTCTTTATGTTCTTTCTTTTTTTCATTTTTTATTTTTTCAAAATATTATACTGTTATTCTAAGTTTGAAAATTCTAATCAAAATTTATTTTGAAATTAACAAAATTTATTTTATTTTTTGAATTTTATGCTTTCTGCTACAAATTAAAAAATAAAAATAAAAAAAAAAAGGCCGAAATAATCCCTGATCAAGGAAAAGTTTTTGTAACCATTGTTACATACGAGCAGATCGATTAAACGGATTCATATCATGGATTTAGATTTTAGATTATAAATTAATTGTATAAAATAGTTTAATATTAAATAAATCCCATATCATATTAGAAGTTATTAATATTTTTCGCTAATAATGGATAATTCTTTTGAACGCTTAATTTTAATATAAATTAATAAATTTGAAATGCTATAATTTATGTACTAATTACCACTCACTTTTACTTTTATGCCATAATAATCCAATGATTTTATGCATCAAATTACCTTCTAATAATAGCGATAATTATTTTATTTTATACTAACATTTTATGATTTCTTTTTTTTCTTTTTTCTTTTAAATATCAATTATCAAATTTGTTTACATCTCTTTCAATCCTTTACTCAAATCCTTATAATTTCGGGGACAAAAAAGAAATTTCATTTAAAAAATAACAAAAATTGGTGTCATTTGAAAATTTCCCGATAAAATTACACATTAGTTCATATTAAAAAAAAAAAAAAAGAATGGAAAAAATTAAATCATTGAAAATTTGAAAAACAATTTGTTGAAATTCTATCAAATTAATTTTGTAATTTTTCTTACAATCAAAAGAAAAGTTTTTTTTTTCTTTTTTTTTATTCTGTCAACTTTTTCATATGATGAACGAAAATGAATCACAATTCGTGACATTATTGTTGATTCACATTTAAAGAAATACTACTAATTAATTGAAAATAACATTTGAAAGAACTGTGTAATTTATTTTTTTCTTTGTCATCTTTCAAGGGATTCTTCGCTTCTTTCTTTTCTCTTCAAAATAAATTAATAAATTTGTATTGTTTCAAAAATTTCTCACTAATTGCTCTGATTTTATTTTATTTGTTTATTTATTTGCTAAAAATTTTTGTTTCATTTGAAAATAAAAATAATCTTTAAAAAAAAAGGATGAAAAATTAAAGATTAAATTTTAATCATGCATAAATTTAAATTCCAATAATACATTATTCATCTATTACTAAATCTTAATCATTTATATAATGGATGGAATCAGTTCATCAAGATTTCAATCAATATGTTCATTTGACAAAATACAACAACATGAGTGGGCAAACAATTTGCACATCATCATTGCGGTAAGAAACAAAGATAAACAAACCGTTACGGTTGACCTCAATTAATGAAAAATATGTTTGATCGAAATATCCTGAAAATACATACTGTTCACTATCATATTGTATCATACTACCTTTGCTTACCTTCCGTATTGCTTAAAATTTTGACGTCAATTTAATTTAAATTTATAATTTCCATGC